GTAAATCTTTACGGGAGTAGAAAGCCTCATCTTTCTCCCGCGGAGCGGCTGGTAGTTTCGAACCACTGACTTTAAGGTTCGCAGCCCGATTCGTAACCACTATGCTACCAGAGCTCCTAGACATCACTAACAGGGGGGAAATCTGGGAAATATGCAAACATGGAAATTAAATTTAATAATGGGCCAAGGAAGGAATCAAAAGAGAAATCACAAATGAAAATGCAAACACAAGATACCACAACGTACAGACTGCAGACAAGGCGAAACTCAGCAGGAAAGCGCCGCTTCACTAAAGAGAAGGAGGTCTCAACGTGACCACTTAACTCAGGACCCAGAAAAGAAGAGGAAGCCAGGCCTTAGCCTATCGGAAGAAAGCAGGTAACAGCGATCAGACCCTAATCAATAAAAAGACACAGGAAAACAAGCAAATCAATAAAACCAGAAGTTGGCTCTTTGAAAAGACCAAGAAAATGGACACACCTTTAGAGACTGAGAAAGTAAAAATGCAAAAAATTTTATTAAAAGTGAAAAATCAATCAGAGGACAATCCAACTGACCCAACAGAAATCGAGTCCTGACTGACTGACTGGCCAACTGCACACGACCCCGATGAAATGAACACATCCTCAGAAGCACACGGACTCAAGAGGGCACAGGAAGTGTCAACAGATCATGAAAACAATCCTGGACCACATGGTTTCATGGGAGAAGTCTACCAAACATCTAGAGAAGAACTGGTATCAATATGGTTTAAACTCTTCCAAAGACAAAAGGAAGGAATACTCTCTCAAATTCATTCTATTATTACATCTGATACTCAAATCAAAGATGTTACAAGAAAAGAAAACTACTGGCTACTTGATCTGATGAATGCAGTTGCTACCGCGTGCCATCCGGTTAAGGCTGACTCGGGGCGACCCTGTACAGGGTTTCTGAGGCTGCACATCTCTACAGAAGCAGAAAGCCTCATCTTTCTCCATGGAGTGCCTCGTGGGTTCAAACTGCTGACCTTGCAGAGAGTAGCATAACACAGAACCTATTCCGCTACCAGGGTACAAGAATCCTCAACCAAATACTAGCAAACAGAATCCAACAACACTAAGACGGACCATCACCACATGTCACCTTGTTGTACTGCGCTACCTGTGTGTAGCTGTGATGCTGGACGCTATGACATCAGTATTTTAAAAACCAGCAGGGTCATCCACAGTGGAGATTGCAGACTAAGACAGGCTCGGAATGTTTACCCACTGAACGTTGTCAGATAGAGAGTCAGAACATGGAAACAGGAAATAAGAACATCGTTAGATACAGATACGGTGCCTGAAGATGAGCCCCTCAGCTTGGAAGGCACTCCAAATACGACTGGGGAAGAGCTACTTTCTCAAAGTAGAGGTGATCATGATGACATGAATGGAGTAAAGCCTGTGGGACCTTCATTTGCTAATGGGGCACAACACAAAATAAAAAGAAACAGCCGCAAACATCCATTAATGATCGGTACATGGAAAGTTGTTGTTGTTAAGTGCCATTGAGTTGGTTCCGACCCATAGCGACCCTGTACAGGGTTTCCGAGGGTGTAAATCTTTACGGGAGCAGAAAGCCTCATCTTTCTCCGGAAAGTAGGAAGCATTAACCTAAGAAAATTGAAAGTTGTCAAAAACAAACTGGAATGCATGAGGATCAATATCCTAAGGCATTAGTGAGCTGAAATGAACGGGTACTGACCATTTAAAATCAGACAATCACACGATTTACTATGAAGGGGACCAACAAATTAAAGAGGAATGGAGTTATAACGGTGGTCAAAATGAACATTTTAACATTCACTTTGAAGTACAATGCCGTCTGTGATATGATAATACTATCTATACACTTACAAGGAAGACCAGTTAACACTATTATGATTCAAATTTACACACCAACCATTAATGCCAGTGATGAAGAAACTAAAGAATTCTACCAACTTCTTCAGTGTGAAATTGATCAAACATGCATTTAAGATGCAATGCTAATTACTGGTGATTGGAATGTAAACATTGGAAACAGAAAGAATCAGTAATTAGAAAATATGGCCTAGGTGAGAGAAATTATGCTGGAGACTGCATGACAGAATTTGCAAGGCCCATGACTTATCGATTATGAATACCTTTTTTAAAAAACAGAAAAGGTGACCACACCAGATGGACTGCAGGAATCAAACTGACTAGTATCTGCTGGAAGACACAGCAGCAAAGCTCCAGGTCATCAGTCAAAGCAAGGTCCAAGGCAGACTGTGGGACAGACCATCAATTGCTCATATGCAAGTTCAGACTGAAGCTGAAGAAAATGACAAGTGCACGAGAGCCCAAATTTGACCTTTAACATATCCGCCCTTAATTTAGAGATGATCTAAAGAACAAATTTGATGCATAAGACACTAATAACACAACACCAGAGTGTTAGGGTGACATCAAGAACATTATACATGAAGAAAGCAAAAGGCCATTACAAAGACAGGAAAAAAGGAAAAGACCAAAGTGACATCAGAAGAGACTCTGCAACTGGCTCTTGAGCAGAGAAGCTAAAGCGAGTTGAAGAAATAAGAAAGTAGAAGAGCTGAACAGAAAATTTCAAAGAGCAGCTTGAGATGACAGAGTCAAGTATTACAATGAAATGTACAAAGACCTGGAGCTAGAAAACCCAAAGGGGCGAACAGGCTCTGAAAGAAATGAAGAAAAACTCAAGTCTTCACTTGAAATAGAAGAATTCTACCAACTTCTTCTATCTGAAATTAATCAAACGTGCAATCAAGATGGATTGATCATTATTGGTGATTGGAATGCAAAGGTTGGAAACAGAGAGGAAGGATCAACGAGTTGGAAAATATGGCCTTGGTGACAAAAATAATGCTGGAGATCCCGTGAAGGAATTCTGAAAAACCAGTGATTTGTTCATTTCAAATACCTTCTTTAAACAGCATAAGAGACGATTATACACATGGACCTCACTAGATGGAATATACAGAAATCAAATTGACTACATCTGTGGAGAGATGATGGAAAAGCTCCATACCATCAGTCAAAATAAGGCCAGAGGCAGACTGTGGAACAGACCATCAATTGCTAGTATTGCAAATTCAGACTGAAGCTGAAGAAAATGAAAACAAGTCCACATGAGCCAAAATACGACCTTGAATATGTCCCACCTGAATTTAGAGATCATCTGAAGAACAGATTTGATACAGTAAACACTAAAAACCAAAGGCCAGAAGAGTTGTGGGATGACATCAAGAATTTCATACAGGAAGAAAGCAAAAAGTCATTATGAGGACAAGAAAGAAAGAAAAGGACAAAGTGGATAGATACTGAAACTTGCTCTACAGTGTGGAGATGCTAAAGCAAATGGAAGAAATGAGGAGGTACAAGAGATGAACAGAGAATTTTCAAAGGTCAGCTGGAGAAGACAAAGTCAAATATTACAATGAAATGTGCAAAGATCTGGAGTCAGAAAATCCAAAGGGAAGAACATGCTCAACGTTTCTCAAGCTGGAGGAACTGAAGAAAAAAACCAAGCCTTGACTTTCCTTATTGAAGGATTCTCTGGGCAAATTATTGAATGATGCAGAATGCATCAAAAGAAGTTGGAAGGAATACACAGTCACTGTACCAAAAGGAAATGGTTGATGTTCAATGGTTTCAAGAGGTACCATATGATCAAGAGCCAATGATACTGAAGGAGGAAGTCCAAGGTACATTGA